ACAACTTTTTTTAATAATTTTTACTAAACAACATTTTTTTAATAATTTATACTAAATAACTTTTTTAATAATTTATACTAAATAACTTTTTTAATAATTTTTGTTTGTAGTAAAACAAAATAAAAAAGTTTTTAAACAAGAAACTAAACCTGAAATACTTTCAAGACGAAGACAGTGTTAATTTATAAAGCTGTTATAATATACTAACTTATTTCAGTTCATTGACATACAAGCCAACAACTATTGGGTTATTAGCTGAGAATTGAATTCTTTTCATGAATAAAACATGCATTGACATTTTATTATGCTAATAATAAGATTTTAGCCACGTTTATCCATGCAAATCACTAAGATATTTCTCGCTCCTTAATAACATTACTACAATTTATTACTGCTCTCTATTTTTATTTAAAAATGCAGCATTATTGCTATTATTAATTCTATTATTAAAACAATTATAATCAATAATAATATGTATTATCACTATTTATTATTAATATCATTATAATCATTGTTATTTTTATTTGTATTTATTTTTACTTTCATTTTTAGTTATATTATTGATGAAAAAAAGAATGTATTTTTATACAATTTATCCATTTATTATTAACATACCCGTTGCATTATACAGAATCAATATAAATCTCAGCAGCAAAATAGTTTTAATAAAAGCTAAAATATGAATTTATATGAAAAGTAACAGTATAGCAAAGTTTTTCATGCAAGCATTGACACGAAATATTCAAATTTACCGCTTAATTTTGTAATTTTTAGAATCTGAATTACAAAAAATTGCTAATATTTTAATAAATTGATGAAAAATAGGAAAAAAGGCAATTTTTTAAATTCTATTATTAATATTAATCGAAGTTTTCAATAAAAGTATTAATAGTAAATGCTTTTTTAAATCAATTTCGTTAATACTAATAATAATGAAATTGAAAAATTTTGATCATTACGTTCAATCATCAAATTTCATATTTATTACAACAAAACAGGCAGTAGACATTAATTTTGACAATAATACTACAGAATAAAATGCTTAGATTGATCAAGATTTGAGTTAAAGAAACGTTAAATTTGTACAAAATCCTTGAACAATATTTCAGACGTATTCTATTACTTATTACTGTAAATTTAATTAGCTACAAAAGTACGTGAAATTCAAAGGAATTGATCGTCATTACACGCAAACTTAGTTGTGATCAATGCGGAAGTCTTGTCTTCTTCACATTTTTCTCTTTCTGTTAAACTTTGAGATTCATTCGCTTTTTTTGATCTAAATAATAAAATGTGAATTTGGCATAAATTGTACACAAAATACAGTATTCCATAATTCAAGTATATAAATGAGTAATTATTGCTATTTTAACAAAAATTATTATAAATTGTTACTGTATCATCAAAAATTATTATTTGTGACAAATGCAAGTACTTAATAACTTTTAGCTTTATTTTTAAAATATTTATTTACTTGAAATCTTCAAAAATTGCATTTCTTCAAAGTAATTAATGTTAGCTAACCGTTTCTTATGGCGATGAAACCAAAAAAGTAACAAATTATCCTTTTCAATATTTTGCTCCTTGCCATAATTATAGTTTGAAATGATTGAGTTTCGACTGCATAAACTTGACTGTAATAAAAATATGATCAAAAAAGTTCAAGTTGTATTTTGGTAATTTAAATTGAAGTTATTGTTATTACAAAAAATTATTCACTGTATTTAAAATTATAATTAAAAAATTTTGTAAAATTAATTAAAATTTGAAATATTTCATATTCATGCAAATACAGTATGCGTAATAGTAATTTTTGCAAAATGACAGTAATTAATTTTATTATTATTATGTAAATAGAAGTAAAATTGATTCTGTTTTATTTTTCAAAATCTTGATCTGAAAGTATTTAGCTCACTTTGTACACAATTCATATTCTGAACATATAGGTTATTTCTTAAAACACTCTTATTAGATACTTGCTTGTCAGCAATCATTCTAATTATTTTCAGATAATTAATTTAGTAGAGAATATTTAAAATCTGTATGAGATTAAGAGGTAAGTCTAATATTTTTAGCATAAATTTTAAATCTGTGCTAGTCTTAAAGCAATTAATCTTTTACTTACTAATTTAATTTCAGCGCAAGCGTTCTGTTTAATTTCTTCACACTCTTCAACATTTGAAAATTTTATTAACGGCCGAATTACAGTACTATGAATTCGTTCATTACATCGAGCAAATTCTTGTCTATTTCGTCTAATACGATGTAAAAGGGGTGAAGTTATCGCCGATAGATCAATTCTGATATTTATTTATTCAAATTATCAGATCAAAAATTTAGAAAAAAATTTATCTCAAAGATACATTTAAATTTTATTAATTGTATAAGTTAAAAAGTAATATTAGTTATCAGTAAAAAAATTTTCACAATTCTTTTTTTGATAGCTAATATTAGTTCTTAACTTATTTTATTGATATACTGACGTAAATTATGATAACGTGATCGTAAGTGGAATTTTTACTTAATGCAATAAATTTCATAGAAAAATTTTTGAGCAATCCAAATAAGTTAAAAGCAATAATAGTTATCAACAAGAGAATCCTGAAAATTAATATGTGAAATGATTTGCCTAAATTTTATAAGTTTCTTATTGATATATTGACGTAAATCGTAAAAAACTCACGCATTTGTAAGAAAACGTTTGTGTGTGAAAGATTGAGAAATATAACGTTTTGTTGATATTTTGTCCGTAAAACTGCTGCTATTAAAAAGTGAACGAAATGCTCGACGAAAGTTTTTAACGTGTGCAGCATAAAGTAATGGATTTAATGCGCAGCTAATATAAGGGAAGAGATGGATCACGTTGATGATAAAGCGATCAAAACGTGTATGAATGCGTAATCGAAATAAGGAACTGAGAAAATTGAATAACCAAAATGGTGACCTAAAAAATTATGCATATTCTAATAATTTTGTATCACTCCAAAACTATACATTCAATTATAAACGATAAAATTTTGTTAAATATTGAATTACTTATGACTTTAGAGAATTTATAACAGAAGTAACTAAAACAACCAAAATTTCTTTATAAGATTAAATTTTGTTTTTTCAAACAAATCAATAATACTAAATTTAAATTTAAACTTTTCTAATAAGTTATGAAAATGAAATGGTTTTTCTATTATTAACAACATAAAGTGCTTTATTTTTTGTAAATTTATATTTGTATTTCTGTTTTATCAAAAAACTTTTTCCACTTTGTTTCTATGAAATAAAAAAGATTGCAAGATTTTAA